TCTCCCTATTTCCAAATTGGGTAATTAAACAAAATTACATATATTATTTTATTAAAAAAATAATACCTAATATTTTTTTGAGACATTCGGATTCCGTTGAGAACGAGTAATTCTCTGCACCGATTCCACGGATTCGCTTAACTGCGGTTGCAGCTGGTTTGTTCTCTGTGACGGAGTACTCGCCGATTGGAAGTCTGTCAGACTGCCAGTCGGCGAGCTCGCTTCCGTAATCATCACCATCGGTGGCTCCGTAGTCGCGTTCATCCTCGAACAAAGGGTTTCCATTTTTTCGTTAAGATTTAAGATAGGCTCGAATTTTTCTTCCATTATCTTGAAGTTTCGCTCGTAATGCTCGATGATGATTTTCATCTCCCGACTTTCAGCAGTCAATATCTCGTTTTGCTTTTCTACCGCCGATAATTTACTTTCCAGCTGCCACAAGTTTTCCAGATCCTCCTTAAAGCTCCTCATTTCGTGTTTTATCTCGTCTAATTCTTGATTCTTCAAAACAAGATCGGCAACAACAACTCGGCGCTATCCTCGTCTGATATCGATACTTCCGCCGCCAGTTCCGTCAAGTACGCATTTTCATTTTGTAAATCACGAATATTTTGCAAGTAATTAATACTCTTTAGATGATTAATTTCGTTTCTACTTACCGAAAATTCCTTTCCGGGATTCTTCAACGATTGTTGACTCAATTCTGCAGCGTCCTGTTTATCTCTTCCAGATATCGAATTTACGACTTCCGCATCCACTTGAATATTTTTTTGTTCTCTATTTGACTCACTTCTTGCTGAAATTGGCAAATATTGAACATCGGCCAGTTTCTCTCTCAACTCGTGAACCATCGACTCTACTAAGACACTATTAGATATTGTGATAAGCTCTTGGGCTTACTATTACCGCAATAAATAGCTACACTACAAACCCAAGTGTGTTGTTCTTACACACATTATTTGTGTAAATCCTTGTAGACACTTTTCACACACTTTTTAGTGTGTACAATCACAACACTAGAAGTGAGTTGTTTTTGGTTGCATTACGTGCATTATTGTAATACACGTGCATTGTTTTAATGCACGTAATTTGTGTCAATCAAAGTAACCTAACCTTTTCATTAGCGTCCACAGTTGCGTGGATTTTAGTGGCCAAAATGTACAAAACAATTTCAGGGTTGTTTAGTGCACACTATCCTGAAATTGCTTGTATGTACATAAGATTGTACGTAAGGTTGGCCACTAAAAACCAGCAATTGTAGATGCTGAAATAAAATATCAACTTAATTCATATGTTCGTAATGCATTGCGTGTTAAATAAATAAATAAATTTTTTAATGCATATTGAAATTGTTTATTATTTACTATAAAAATACAAAAATTTTTGTGTATTTAAATTTATAATTAAATAATTTTTGAAATTGAAAAGTACGATATAAATATAAAGTAAAGCAAGATAAAGAATCCTTTTATCTTTTTATTACAAAAACATTCTTTTTTTTATCTTATGATAAATACATGTTCTTCTATAATATATCTAAAATAATAACAAGAAAAAATAAAAAAAACTACTGGTCACTTGCACATTTCCCAAGACTTTGTCTTTCATAAAACGTTTTTCCTTAATTTTAAAATTAATAACATGTTTTAAACATATTAATTTCATAAAAAATAAAATAAACAAAAGTTATTTATCTATCCGCAAGTTTTTCCAATAAACTTTATATTTTAAAGTAACGACAAAAAATTAAATGAAAAAAAAACTTACTTATTAATTTGTTGATTTCTCTCATATAAAGCGTTACCGATATTACGAATAAATTTGTCAACATAAGCCTTTTTATTAGCGGTACCCAAAACCTCCCAGTCAATATATTGCATGACATTTTCATAGGCACTTGGATAACGTGTATCCCACGCATAATATGTTCCAACAAACATATTAACGTTTTTTGTACCGTTGGTTCGGGAATTTTAATTCGCAAGGTATCTGCAACGACAAATGCAGCACAAATACCACCTTCAGCTGTATACAGAACTACTCTCAGTGATGCATTTTCGCATGATACTAGATCTTCTGTAGATGATAAGGCCTAATAAAAAATTAAAACATTTAAGTTTGGAAATTTTAAAGTAATGCACGTTTTTTAAGTTTCTCGTGAAAAAATGCTCCAAAAAGACTTTAAAAAATGTATCTGAAAGTTTATTGAAATTGATCCACTTTTTAAAAAAGTAACAAACAAATTTGCAGAGAAATTTCACTGAGATTCACGAATTTCTAAAATTTTCTGAAATGTTATGCAATTTCCTTGATAAAACTGAAAATTTTGTTTTTTCCCTGGAAAAGCGAAAGTTTTTTCAAAGTTTTTTCAGGGATTTTAGATCATTTCAAAAAATTTGAGAAAATTTCCTTAATCTCACTGAAATTTCTGTGAAAATTTTTGTCATTTCTTTCAAAAGCGGCTCAATTTTAACTTTCAAAGTAATTTTTCAAAGAAATTTTTTCATGAAGATTTTAATTAATTTTCAAATTTACTTTATTTACGACGAATAATGGTGTCACTGTTTTATTTTGTTTTCGAGTTAATTTCTCCTGTAATTTACATAATATAGAACACTTCAGTTCTTCTGTTGAATCAGAATCTTTTTCAAAATAGAATACCAATTTTTCGAGCATGGTATCGATGTTCTGATAGAGGAATGTTAGAGATCTTTTTTGTACTAGTTCTAGTTCAAATAATATCTACAAAATATACAAAAAAATTATAATATCAAAAATTACAATGGAAGTTTTAATTAGTTTATATTAACTATATATCAGATTATACTCCATTAACTGAGGATACTTTTCGGTGATTTCTCTTATGCTTTTTGCTTCGTTTTTGATCCATGATCTTCGCAATGATAAAGTTTCTTGCAACAATCGTCGAACGTGACCAGTGTTGCTGGTATTTGTATTTTTCTGCAACTCTTTTAATGCAGTGTCTATATCAATAGCCGTTGATTCACATCTGAAAGAAATAATTTTTAGAAATCGTAGTTTTGCAAATGTTCAAATATTTAGTTTTTATTTTCTTACACATTTTGAATTATTAAAGCTGATGTTGTACTTTTACTAGAAGACTGATGTGCACCTCGAGCAACTTTTTTTTTTAAATGAGCTCTACGATTCCTGATACATGTACTTAGTTCTCTTTTTATGACTTCCTATATCAAAAATAAAACATTTTTAAAAAATTGTAATTATTACTGAAAGAAATTTTAATAACTTACATAACCCAATTTTCCAGCTTTCAACTCAGGATAAGTGTCAATAATAGTTTTTGAGTAATGAAGATAATCTGCTTTAGTGGGGTATCCCTCAGTTAATTGTTGCAAATGCATTGACCAAAATTTAACGAAGAAGCTTTCGTTCGCCAGCAGTCCGGACGTGGACCGTAGAATTTCTAATTCAGGTGTAAATTTTGGCAGTAACGCAGGATAAGGTATTGATCCCGACTTTCCTAAGTACGATGATTGTGATAATTGTAGAGATGTTGACTGTAGAGATAATGTATTTTCGTTTACTGATAAATGATTAATTTTCTGAAGTTTCATTGGAGGAGGTAATTCTTCGGATGTTTCCGGCACTAAGGGAGATATTTCTTTTTTCATTTTTATTACATCTTTTACTATTATTTCAACCTACAAAACATAGATTTTTAAAAATATTAATTGAATATAATGTAAAACAAATTTAATTATGGCTTCAATGTATCTATTCGCACTCCCTCGTGCCTGCAATAGACCCACTCGCACTTTGTGACTTAAAAAAACGTTAGAGCCACAAATAAACACTATACGTTCTGACTTACCTCTGTTTCTTTAATTATAGATTGATCAGAGCGTTCATTGTCTTCTATTTCGAGGTTATGCTCATCCTGTTCCTTACATACTTGTAGAACAGGAACATCGATACTGAGTGTACGTCCTGTTGCGAGAGCTTCAGATAGCTGAATATTAGATTCGTTGTTTAGCTTCAAATCAATTAGAAGTACGTGGATATCTTCCTTGTCTCGTATTTCATCATCCTCGTCAATATCACATAACCGATTATGTCTGTCGGGATTCGCACGTTGCAAAACAACAGCTTTGCCAAATATCATCGACTGTAGCACAGGATCATTTTTGCTTGCCACCATGAGACACTTACGAATCGCTTCAGCGTCAGATACGTTTTCATTCTTGACGAATTTTAACGATTTACAACGTTCACCGATCAAACAAAAAACTTGTTTTTCCATTTTTAGTTGTATCTAAAGTAGGTGTAAATAATAAACATTATTTACACGAAGACCGTATAGTCTCTGACACGACCACAGATAATATACAGATACTCTATTTGATAAGACTCAATAGATTTATCACGAAAATCATGCAAAGATTTACGGTTTTGCAGCCATACTGACTATAAGTAGAGGGAACGGAAAGAATATGCTGGAATCTAGCTATCACGTGACTGCACAGGCAAATGGGATATCTGCTGACGTTATGTCCGCAGCGCCATGATCGCGCGGTATATAACCACAGTATATGTACACTGTGGTATAACCAAGAAAAATACGATAAAAGTACGATTGATAATTATGATAATTATTCACACCTGAAGAAAGGAAGAATTCAATCAGCTTGTTAACGAGGAAAGTAAAGAAATTAAAGAAACGTAGCATGTACAAAAGTGTCACAGCTACAAAAGGATTAAGCAGAAGAAATTTACTCAGCTTATCCCGGTAAAAAAAATTTCTAGAAACGCAATACACAGATGTCAGAGTCAAAAATTTTGCATTGGTTTTGAATCGGAATCGATTGCAAACCAGTCAAAACAATTAGCTCTGACACCTGTGAATGGTATTTTACATCTTTTTTTATAGGTTTTTAATCTAAAAACCAATACTATATTATATACAAATTTACCTAATATATATAAACAATTCATTACAGTTTGATTATTTCGTGTTAAAAATGGAAAACAACGTAAAGTGCTTCATGTGCTCAGTTGTGTGCGTGTCGAATGATGATTTAATCCGTCATACCGTACGTTTTCATCGACTAGATCCTCGATTTCAAGTTCAATGTAAGCATGATGGATGTGGAGCAACTTTTCATAAGTGGAAATTATTTCGCCAACATATTTGGAGAAATCATGGCAATAATGGTCTGTCTGACGTTGAACATGTCGAACGTGACATTTATTTTCCAGATATAGATCTTATGCAAGAAGAAAATAATCATCAGAATGATGATGCAGGTGATTGTAATTCTCTTATAATTTTCTTTTTCTGAATAGTGTTCATTATTTTTATAATTCTTATTTACAAATTACGATTACGATAATTTGTCACTGAAATTTAATAAATAATTGATTCCTCAAGAATTATAAATTATGGAAATAATTTTTTTAATAATCTATAATTTATTTAAAGAATTATAAATTATTCGGATAATTTTCATTTTCGAATACTAATAAATTATGAATTATAAAGTAAATGTAATCCATATAGTCGTAATTATTTGAAACATTCAATTTATGTCCAAGACTAATATTGAATAACTGAGAGGCTTGCGTGTATTATTAAAAATAAACTTAACTAAATAAGAAATGAGTTCAACAAACAAGCAATGTGTATTATTTTAATATTCAGGTTATGATGAATCAATTATGACAGCATTAGAGCAACTTCAATGGCATGCAGCTAAATTTCTCTTGGGTATTAGGGAAAATTGTAAAATATCTCAAACGGCAATTGAAAGAGTAATTGAAGGTGTTCAACACTTTGATGTCAATTTATTCATCAATTATTCTGGTAAAAATATTAATTTATTGATTATCTCTATATTTTAAATACTATATATTATAAATAGTTGTACTAATTTTTTTCTCAGATCGAATTACGTCAATCAATGGATCCAGACACGCAACATATTAACTTCGATGTGATAAAAGAGAAGTTTACAACAACATACCCTTCTTCAATATTATTTTCATGAATAAATTTAAAAAAAAATTAGATGCATTTCTTGTCCAGAAATTTAATATGGTGCTTCCTCAAAAATATATGATTTATAAAGACCTTCAGTGGATGAAAAAAAAAAAGGTCAATTCGGGTTAGAAGAAGTTGAACGGCATGCATACGTCGTACCATTTTTAAATAACTTGAAATTATTGTTACATAATGATGAAGTACGGAATAGCATTGAACATCCTATACAACACGAAAATGATACATATAAAACAATTTTAGACGGTTCTGCTTATCGTGAAAATGAATTTTTTCGCAGCCATCCTAATTCGTTGGCTATAATTTTGTATTACGATGATCTTGGCGTAGCAAACCCATTAGGCGTTTCTTCAAAAAATCAAAAACTGTCGATGTTCTATTGGACTCTTGGAAATATTCATCCAAAAGAACGATCTTCAAAAAATGCTATTCAGCTATTGGCAATCGTAAAAACCGAGTCGCTAAAAAAAGATAGGGCACTTGGGAAATTATTAGAGCCATTTATACAAGATATAATTAAATTGCGTACTGAAGGAGTCACGATTAATGTAAGAGGTAATGACACAATTTTTAAAGGATCTTTATTATTTTGTTGCGCTGATACTCCTGCAGCTGCACTCATGAGAGGATTCAAGGAGTCCGTATCGGCTCATCGTTTATGTCGTCAGTGTATGATAACGAAAAATGATTGGAAAAATGTTTTTTCAGAAGAAAATTTTGTTTTACGAAATAAAATAACTCATACTGAACATATTGCTGCAGTTAGTGAGCCAAATGTATCGAATTACGTTTCAAAATTTTGGAAACGGAGATATGGCGTTAACTCACGAAGTCCGTTATTAGATATTCCAGATTTCGATGTAACTGTTGGTTTACCACAAGATGCAATGCACATACTTCTTGAAGGTATTGAAGAGCTTGCTACTAGAAAGCTACTCTATTATTTAATTATTGAAAAAACAGTTTTCACGTTAGATAACTTGAACAATTAGCGAACAAATTATAATTATTACGGACATTTTAAAGCAGATATACCAGCTGTAATATTGCGCGAACATTTGGTTTCAACAGACAGTAAACTCCGTCAAACAGCAGCACAGATGTTTGCCTTAGCTCACGTCTTACCGTTTTTGATTGCTGAATCTATTATCGATGAGCAAGATCGCGATATCTGTGTAAGATTATTGACTCATACGCATTTACTACAAATACTAAACATGTGTTTAGCTTATGAAATTCATGATCAATCGGTTGATTTTCTTAGTCACATGATACAATTATATATTAGAAGATTCATTTTATTGTATCCTGATTGTGCCATACCTAAGATGCATTTTCTTCTTCATATACCACGATGTATCCGTTTATTTGGACCAGCACGACAGCAGTGGTGTTTGCGGTTTGAAAGTGCTCACGCTTATTATAAACAACTTGTACCCGTAGTACGCAATGTTAAAAATATGGCATATACATGTGCATATAGACATCAAGCTAATCTTTACTCGAAATTAGCAACATATTCAGGAGAATCGACAAAATTTTTATATCAAGGTCATGAGATAAGTCCTGGTGACACAGTATTGTTAAATAATCTACCAAATGATCAATTATTTCATAAATATTTAACTGAAGCTGAGAGAATTAATTGTCAATTATTACGTATTCCTAAAGTAAAAATTCATGGAACAACATACGTACCAAAATCTCTTATATTGTTGCAAAATGAAGAAGAATTCCTTCCAGTGTTTGGTGAAGTCAGGAAATATTTGTGATAAATGGCAAAATATATTTTATTTTTTCCTCTCTGCAAACTATTTCGTTTTATGATAAATTAAATGCGTATTGCGTTGAACAAAAATGTCTTAATGTTCATGATATAATAAGTTTAGAAGATTTAAAGTTTCCTCATCCTTTAATTTATGTTGAAATAGGAGATTTAAGATTTGCGGGACTTTTGAATAACGAAAGAACTAAATTTTATAGATGAATAAAAATAAATATTTTGTAATATTTATAATTATAATATTTTAATAAGATAATAAGTTAAAAATTATTTAAAATTATCTATTTCATAAATCTCTCATTTAGTATGTGTGTGTGTATGTTTATATATATATTTATATATATTGAAATAAAAGAGACAATGCATTTGAAATGTGTTACTTTTTAGCGCGTTCCTTTCCCGAGCAGAAATTAGATCGGGAATGCCAGATGTATGACTAACGCCTGATCGGGAAAGAGTAGGGTTTGCCATAATACGGAAGTCCTGATTCTGGCCTGATTGGGAAACACTAGGATATGCCATGACATGGAATTCCCGATTTTTGCCTAATCGGGAAACGATAGGATATGCCCTGATACGGAATTCCCAATCCTTGCCTGATGGGGAAGCAATAGGATATGCCCTAATATGAAACTCCCAGCTTTTGCCTGATTTAGAGGTATAACCTCAAAAAGTAAGATTTTTT